TGTTATTCTACTATCATCTCACAATTTGATTGGTCGATCGGCCAATAAAATCACGAGATGATCATCAAAATCTAACCCATCACAATGAAAGTTCGCTATGCTCAGAAAAACAATAAAGTTATGATAAATCCTTTCACTAAAAAGTAATTCGAGCCTTTCGGCTCAAGTATCCTAGATTGCGTCCTTGATTAAAAATCTTAGTGATTAGTACCATTCCGCTTGCATTTCTAAGAATTCATCATTTTCATCAGGGTTTTCATCGCGGTTGATCAGTTGGCTTGTGTAAATTGCCTGAGGATGTATAGCTGTTGATTTATGAGGAGTTGTAGTAGTTATAGTTTCCATAACTTTCATTATTTCATCTGATTCTTCAAATTTCAATAAAGCTTCTTTATTGTTTTTCCAGGATTGTATAGTTTCACAAATTTCTAAAGCTGATGGGCGTTCCATCGGATTATCATCCCAGCACTTTTCCATAAGGTCAATATAACATTGTGCTGTGCCTTTAACAACAGTTGGTCTTACTCCGTTAAGAACTTTTAAAAGAAGGTTACTGTCATGTGCTTCATTTGAAAATGCCAAAATTCCAGATGATATTTCCCACATTATTATGCCAAATGAATAAACATCAACTGCCAGAGAATATGCTTTTTTTCGTATAATTTCCGGTGCTATATATGGCATAACTCCGTAAATTTCATCAGATTTTTTTATTAATGCTTGATTAATTGATTCTGCAAGTCCTAAATCTGTAATATAAGCACTTTTTAAATCATCTAACAAAATATTACCGCTATGTAAATCTTGATGAATAAGTCCCTGTGAATGAATTATTTGAAGATCAGAAGCGATACATTGTAATAAGTCTAATTTATTTTTCCATTCCATTTTTGCTACAGAGTCAAGATTGTCTTTCAAAGAGGCCATTGCTGCATATCCTAAGACAAGTATATAATCTTCAGAAGTATCGTCTTTTGATATTCCATAGCATCTTAAAAACGAGGGATGTTTAGAAATAATATCGCAATACGCCTTTAACTTTAATATTTAAAAAAACATGTCTAGTAAGTTAAATATATATATTATTAAAAAAAGCACGTATATATTTAAAATAAAGAAAATCACCTCGTTTATAAAATCTTCATTTTGAAATTTTTTTGGGTTTGAATCGTGAAGTATTTTAAGAGCAACATTTCTTGTTACATTTTGTTCTTCACTAAACCATTTAGCAGAATATACTGTTGCAAAGCCACCTTGTCCTATTTCTTTAACATCTGTAAATTTATTGTATTGAATCCATGATAATGGATATTCAGTCAATAAATTTTTTATTTCATCGTCAATATAAAAGCTTTCATTAGTCCGTTCACCTATGGCTAAACTATGTTAATAAACATCATATTTTCTAAAATAATATTTGTTACTTTAAAGTTACCTAACGTCTTATTTTGTTCCCTAATTTTATTAGAAAACATATATTATAAAGATTGTAATTACGATAAAAAAAAAAAAGAGAAATAAATTTAAAAAAATAAATTATTTACATTTGATACCAATAATTTGCTTTCTGAAAATCTCTTGGTGTTCCAAATCCATTTCGATAGCAATATGCGAGGTTATAGAATGCAGTAACATGTCCCATTTCGGCAGACCTTTTACAATATTTGAATGCCTCATGTTCATTCTTTTCGACTCCTATTCCCTCTTTATAACAGATTGAAAGGTTGTTTATTGCACCAATACTTCCCATCCCAGCAGCTTTTTGATAATAAACAAATGCCTTGTGTTTATCCATTTCAACCCCTATTCCTCTATGATAACAAGTTCCAATTTGACCCATTGCTTGAGCACTTCCCATCTCGGCAGATTTTTGATAATGAATGAATGCCTTACGTCCATCTTTTTCAATTCCTGATCCATGTTGATAACAATAAGCAAGATCAAACATTGCATTGACATTTCCCATATCAGCTGATTTTTTATAATAAATAAATGCTTTATTTTCGTCCTTTTCAACCCCTCTTCAATACCAATAACAAGCTCCAAGGTTTCTTATTGCTTCATCATTTCCCATCTCTGCAGATTTTTGATAATAATAAATACTTTTTCCGGTTATCCTTTTCAACTCCTATTCCATGTTGATAACAATATCCAAGTTCCATGATTGCAATAGCATTTCTCATATCGGCTGCTTTTTGATAATGAATGTATGCTTTATATTCATCCTTTTCAGCACCTATTCCATGCAAGTAACAATATCCAAGAGCACTTATTGCAGCAGCATTTCCCATATCGGCAGATTTTTGATAATAAATAAATGCCTTATTCAACTCCTATTCCATCTTTATAACAACCTGCAAGGTTATACACTCCGTTAGCATTTCCCATTTCGGCTGATTTTTGATAATGAATGAATGCTTTGTGTTCGTCTTTTTCAACTCCCATTCCGTTTTTATAACAATACGCAAGGTTGTTTATTGCAGTTGCATTCCCCATGTCGGCAGATTTTTGATAATGAATAAATGCTTTGTGTTCGTCCTTTTCAACTCCTATTCCATTTTGGTAACAATAATATCCTAGATCATTTATTGCAGTAGCATTTCCCATATCAGCAGATTTTTGGTAATTAATAAATGCCTTATATTCATCTTTTTCAACACCTATTCCATTTCGATAACAATCTGCAAGATAATGTATTCCATCCTCATCTTCCATATCAGCAGATTTTTGATAATGAATAAATGCTTTTTGTTCATCTTTTTCAGTCCCTATTCCGTTTTTATAACAATACGCAACGTTATTTATTGCAGTTGCATTCCCATATCAGCAGATTTTTTATAATGAATAAATACTTTATGTTCGTCTTTTTTAACACCTATTCCATTTTGATAACAATATCCAAGGTTATTCATTGCGATAGCATTTCCCATATCAGCAGATTTTTGATAATGAATAAATGCTTTTTGTTCATCTTTTTCAATCCCTACTCCATCTTTATAGCAATTTCCAAGCCAATTTATTCCATCAGCATCTCCCATATCAGCAGATTTTTTAAAATGAATGAATGCCTCGTGTTCATCTTTTTCAACTCCTATTCCATTTTGATAACAATACGCAAGGTTGTTTATTGCAGTTGCATTCCCCATGTCAGCATATTTTTAATAATGAGTGAATGCCTTGTATTCGTCCTTTTCAACTTTTGCTCCATTCAGATAACAATATCCAAGGTTATCTATTGCAGTAGTATCACCCATATCAGCAGATTTTTGATAATAGATAAATGCCTTACGTTCATCTTTTTCAACTTCTATTCCATTTTGATAACAATACGCAAGATTGTTTATTGCAGTTGCATTCCCCATGTCGGCAGATTTTTGAAAATGAATGAATGCCTTGTGTACGTCCTTTTCATCTTTTTCAACACCTATTCCATTTCGATAACAATCTGCAAGATTATATATTCCACTATCGTTGTTCATTTCTGCAGATTTTTGATAATGAATAAATGCCTTATTTTCATCTTTTTCAACACCTATTCCATCTTTATAACAATTTCCAACCCAATTTATTCCATTAATATTTCCCATATCTGCTGATTTTTGATAAAGAATAAATGCTTTATTTTCATCCTTTTCAACACCTATTCCATTTCGATAATAATCTGCAAGATTATATATTCCACTATCGTCGTTCATCTCTGCAGATTTTTGATAATGAATAAATGCCTTATTTCCATCTTTTTCAACACCTATTCCATCTTTATAACAATTTCCAACCCAATTTATTCCATTAGCATTTCCCATATCTGCTGATTTTTGATAATGAATAAATGCTTTATGTACGTCCTTTACAACACCTATTCCATTTCGATAACAATCTGCAAGTTTATATATTCCGTCGGTATTTCCCATTTCAGCTGATTTTTGAAAATGAATAAATGCCTTATGTTCGTCTTTTTCAACTCCTATACCATTTTGATAACAATATCCAAGTGCATTTTCTTCAGTTGATTTTTTATAATCCTTTTTTTTTTTCGATGGGAGAATCCAAATTAGCATTCTAATTTCTAATCATTTCAATAGGGATTATTTATTGCACAGAGCCTTGTGCTCTTGTATCGCGGTAATACACAAGAAAAATCACTATCCCATAAACAAATTTTCTGCGCAATCACATGAGCTCCACCTATAAAATTCGGCATAATATGTACAGTCAGACCCCCCTAAGTGCATGTCCTATGAAAAGCCTCTCTAAATGCACGTCTTCTCTTGGTTCAACTAATATTGCGCTTATGTAATATTTGGCAAAAATTGTCGAATAACGGTAATTTGGCAAATGAGCACGTGCCGCAAAGCGGCACGTGTAGCCAATCATTTGCCAAATTACCGTATTCGACAATTTGCCCAATATTGGTGTTTTCCGGCAATTTTATGATCATGATTGGTAGGAAGTCGCTCGCTGAGTTTTAATTTTTAATACTGGAATAAACATAATTACATAGTAACACATGAAAAAATAACAAAAAAATTTTTTTTCATGATCATATGAGTTTTCCGGATAAAGATATTTACCTTCCTAAATGCAATACCTTTCTAAGTACGCGTTTGGCTAAATTTTTACATATGGTTCTGTCTCATTGCATTTAGAGGTCTGACTGTACAACACACTTATTTAACCCATATTACATACATAAATCGCACAATTCAGGTTATTTTACACGATATCCTGCATAATTTATGTGTATTGGATTTTTTTTTTTAGCCAATACAGTAAGACTCAGAACCAATCACAACACTAGATAAATTTTCTTTAATCGATATGAACAGATTATCCAATTCCTCAATGACAATTATTTTGTTTTGAAGTTAAAATTATAAATGGGGTAAAAATTGAATTATTTGAATCGGATTTTGTATTAAAGAATCTAAATTGGACACTATGCCTGGATGGGGAGATGGTTATCGTGGTGATAGTAGAAACATTTTTTGTCACTCAGGAAGTGGCAAATCATACGGTCCACTTTTTACTATGGAGATGTTGTTTAAATTTTAGATCTAATATTGTGTTTTTTACAAAAAATTGGTACATTTAGGAATTGCATTCAAAGATAAAAATTTTATAATAAATAATGAAATAAAGAACTTTGAATTATATCCTTGTATTTGATTAAGATCACGAAATGGATCTGTTGAAATAAATTTTGGATGTCAAAGTTTTAGTTATAAAACGTTCACTGATTATGATATTGAAGATGAAATTTTACAAAAGAATTTAAATAGGGCTCTAGATATGCGTAATTATGAATCGTTAAGTAAACAAAAAATCATATTGCGGAATTAATAGAATCATTGAAAACTAAATCGATATATAGGGCAAAGGTTTATTTTATTATGAGTAAGTATAATATTATAGACAAGTACGATGATGATTATTATTATGTATTTATGCTGAGATATTATGGAGAAACCTTCTACATGGGGGGAATTATATGAAATTACTTAAAATTTTTGAAAGATTATTGAAAATAAAACCGAATGATGTTTGGACATTAAAGAAGTAAGGAGGGAAGCAAATTGAATTGAGAGAGAAAAGTCTATTGCATACAACAGAAATTTCCTGAAGAGGAGGAAGAAAAGGAAAAGATGATTAAAGAAATTGAAGAAATAATGAAGATTGATGAAAAAGACAAACAATTTGAGAAATTCACTATGATTTTTTAATAAAAAGAGCAGAGGAAGTGGGTCATTTATTATACAAGAGCGAACGTTGTAAGGGTCGAATTTGACGCAGCATAACCTGAACTTGGCCTGTGCCACTATTTTTTTTATTATTTTATTACTATTACGTAGCATTTT